CACACGTGCTCACACACATGTACAGGCACATGCACAGACTTGTATACACACATGCATACACATGTACAGGCACATGCACACACGTATACACATATGCACACATATGTACATACACATGCACCCCCCCACACGCAGACACACAGTTTATGGAAAGACGATGCTGGCCTTCCTCCTTCCCGCTCCTGAACAGCAGGATGGTCTATGGAGGCCCGAGGCTAAGGCCCAGACAAGGTCTGTCAGCCTGAGATATCACTTAACATGCATTCATCATCACAGACACACGACCTTTAATCCAATTTGGGGCACATATGTGGACACGTAAAAGGAAGCAGAGACCGAAAGAAGGCAACATTAGAAATACTCGGAATGGGGGCCGGAGTGATAGCACAGCGGGGAGGGCATGGGCCTGGCACACGGCCGACCCGGGTTCGATCCCCAGCATCCCATAGGGTCCCCCGAGCACCGCCAGGAGTGATTCCTGAGTGCAGAGCCAGGAGTTAGCCCTGAGCATCGCCGGGTGTGACCCCAAAAGCAAAAAAAAAAAACCCAAAAACTCGGAACACGGTCCCGGCGGCAGAAAACTCGAGTCTCCAACAGCAGAGGCGAGTGGCGGGTGCGGTTACGACACTTTGGTTCCACCTTGCAAAAGGGATAAAATCTGTGAGAGCCTCTGGAGCAGATGACGCCTGAGCACGGTGGCAGTGAGTGACAGGGAAACCCTCAGAACCAGACAAGCGTCTCAAGAGCCAATCCGACTTATCTACTCGAGATGGGAGAGATAAGTCTCTTCTCTCTCATGCTGGATGGAATGACCCCATCTCATTTCACTGCACAAGTGCGGATGAGGGGCCGGAGTGATAGCACAGCGGGGAGGGTGTTGGCCTGACACGCGACCGACCCGGGTTCGATCCCTGGCATCCCATAGGGTCCCCCGAGCACAACCAGGAGTGATTCCTGAGTGCAGAGCCAGGAGTCAGCCCTGAGCATCACCGGGTATGACTCAAAAACAAAACAAAACAAAACAAAACCCGCAGCTGAAACAGGGGTGGGGGGTGGGGGGGAACGCCTGGGGGGGGGTTGGTAACTGAGGACGGCCAATGATCTTCACATCTCGGGGTCTGAGGAAGCTGCTGATAGGAAAGACTACGGGGAGGTCGAGGCTGCAGACCTGGTGGGGGAACACAGGGGACAGGCCGCAGCGAGAGGGAGCACCGTCCAGGGAGCACGGGGAGCAATGCTGGGCGCGCCCCCCCACAGTGGGCTGCGGGGATGTGTGGACACTGGGGTCAGCACGTGATGACTGCGGGTGGACGGAGAAAGGCGTGCGGTGGGGGTTGGGTGGGTGGGTGGGGGGCTTAAGGTATGTTCTAAGTGGGACCCGGCCCCATCCTGACACTGCAAGGCAAGCCTGACCCCTCCTTGCTATTCTAGGGAGACCCCCCACCCCCCGTCATGCGTGTCTGTGTCACCCGTTCCCTCAGCCAATCTTGGCTCTCGGAGCCCTATGAGGGGGACTTGCAGGATTATGTGCCTTGGAGGACAAATTTAACTGTGTCTCCTTTAGCAGCACATAAACCAAAGTTTCAAATAAAATCAATAAAAGGAGGCGCTGGAGAGGGAGTACGAGGGGGGGTATATGCTTGCTTGCACATGGCCAACCCTAGCTCTGTCCCCAGCAACCCTTCCGGTCCCCCGAGCACTGTCAGGAAGGAACCATGAATGCAGAGCCAGGAGTCAACCCCGGGCAAGAAAGTGAATTAGCACACAGAAGGCTGCATGGCGTTCCGTGCGGACAACGCTTAATGTTCCTCTGTCGGAGTCGGCACAGGACAGGGAAACCTAACCACATACTGTAGGACTGTCACACTGTCCTCCCATTGTTCATCTATTTGCTCGAGCGGGCCCAGTAACGTCTCCATTGTGAGACTTGTGGTTACTGTGTTCGGGATATCGAATACGTCACGGGGAGCTTGCCAGGCTTTGCCGTGCGGGGGAGATACTCTCGGTAGCTTGCCGGGCTCTCCGAGAGGGGCAGAGGAATCGAACCCGGGTCTGCTGGGTCATCCGCGTGCACGGCAAATGCCCTACCAGATGGGCTATTGCTCCAGCCCTAACCACATACAACAGCTCCAAAACCCCTGTTGCACTTGGCATATTTTTTCCCATTTTATACTTAAGAGGGTCTTCTCTATTCTAAGATGGAAAGCAATCCTGCTGTATGTATATTGTCTGTTTATTTTTTATTTTTGCTTTGTGGGTCACACCTGGCGATGCTCAGGGCTGACTCCTGGCTCCGCACTCAGGAATTACTCCTGGCGGTGCTCAGGGGACCCTATGGGAGGCTGGGAATCGAACCCAGGTGGGCCGCATGCAAGGCAAATGTCCTCCCTGCTGTGCTATTGCTCCAGTCCCCAAAGTATAATGTCTTGGTGTTTCCATTTCCCTTTTTTCTTGGAGAGGTGGCCGACAGGACCTCAGGGTTACTGCTAAATGCTAGGCATGAGGGAATAGTCTTTCTGTTTCTTCCTTCTTTTTTTTCTCTTTCTTTTGGGTCATACCCGGCGATGCACAGGGGTTACTCCTGACTCATGCACTCAGGATTCACTCCTGGCGGTGCTCGGGGGACCCTATGGGATGCTGGGAATCGAACCCGGGTGGGCCGCGTGCAAGGCAAAATGCCCTCCCCTCTGTGCTATCGCTCCAGGCCCTGTTTCTTCTTTTCCCACCATTTTCCCAGCACGTTATACGGGAAACGACATCTAGAATGGAAGAAGTGCTCAACTTGGCATCCAAATTTCTGGTCCCTGAGTCAACTCAACCCTCTTACAAGCGGAGCACATGTTCTTTTCTGAACCTGCGTGAACTCACTTATAAAACATGGACAAGAATTCCTCTTGCTCCGCCCGAAGCATTTATTGGGATGATCAATGCAGTACCTCGCCACCGACCAATATTTCAGGAACCAAGGCTGGTGGGCGGACGGCGGCAGGCACCAAGCCTTTCCCCTAGAGATCTGCTGTGCACTCATTCACTTCCAGTAAATGACTTATCTCAGGGAGACCAGGACAGTCTCTCTGGAACAGTCTTCGCTGGAGACTATGAAGATAGAAGGAATAAATGCATGGAGCCATTTTTCCCGGTTAACGTCGGGCATTCTAGAGAACATTTAAAACGTTATCATCACATCACCAGTTTTTTTTTTTTCTGCTGGAACTGAGCTACTTAACGGGCTGACGGCCCTGAACACTGAGAAGGGGGATTCCACCGTCTCTGGCTACCCCGTATTGATTCATTAATGGTCCGGAATTCAATACGATCTGAGGAACTGTCATTCTACCCGAGTATGCGGCATTGAAAGGCTGCTGCTTCTTTATTGTCTAGAATTCGGTAAAACTCCCCCTTTCTAAGGCACAAAAATAAGGAAGTTCCCGAACTGTGCACCCGGGTTGTTTCAACTTTTCCTATTTGCAACACTTTTTTTTTGCCTGAGGTTGATTTGATCTATTTTTAATTATTATTATTAGTTTATTTATTTTTTGCTTTTTGGGTCACACCTGGTGATGCTCAGGGTTACTCCTGGCTCTGCACTCAGGAGTCACTCCTAGCAGTGCTCGGGGGACCCTCTGGGATGCCAGGGATCAAACCCGGGTCGGCCACATGCAAGGCAAACGCCCTCCCCGCTGTGCTATCGCTCCAGCCCTGGTTTATTTTATTTTATTTTATTTTTACACAGTATCAGGTATACAAAGCAGGTCTACAAATCACAACCTGCTGATCATAAATCATACATAGACTTTAAACAATTTTTTGGGGTTTGCTTTTTGGGGGAACTACTCCCGTCAAGATTTACTCGGCTCTGCACCTAGAAATCACTCCTGGTGGTGACCGGGGCCATAGAAGATGTTGAAGATTGAACCCAGATCAGCTATATGCAAGGGAAACGCCCTCCCTGCTATTACTGCTCTAGCCCGGTTTTTTTTCTTTTTTCTTTTTCCTTTTTGGATCACACCCGGTGATGCACAGGGCTGACTCCTAGCTGTGCACTCAGGAATCACTCCTGGCGGTGCTCGGGGGACCCTATGGGATGCCGGGGATCGAACCTGGGTCGGCTGCCTGCAAGGCAAACACCCTACCCGCTGTGCTATCGCTCCGGCCCTCCGGCCCATTTTTGATATATTTTTTTCCCTTGGTTTTTCGGGTCACACCTGGCGATGCTCAGGGGTAACTCCTGGCTTTGCACTCAGGGACCCTGTGGGATGCCAGGATCAAACCTGGCTTGGCCACGTGCAAGGCAAGTGCCCTACCGGCTGTGCTAATTGCTACAGCCCCCATTTTTTATTTTATTTACTTATTTATTTATTTTTTTGCTTTTTGGGTCAGACCCGGTGATGCTCAGGGCTGACTCCTGGTTCCTGGCGGTGCTTGGGGGACCCTATGGGATGCTGGGGATCGAACCCGGGTCGGCCGCATGCCAGGCAAACGCCCTACCCGCTGTGCTATCTCTCCAGCCCTATTTTTAATTTTTTAAAAAAAATTTTATTAGTGAGACACCATGAGGTACAGTTGTCATTTTTTATTTTTTAAAAAAGCTTCTTGCACACAAGTTTCAGGACAACCCCACGCCATCAGCTCTGGGACACGCCCAGGGCTCAGTTCTACCGGAAGTAAAGTTCTCACTGTGTTCTCCTCAGATTCTATTTGGCATAACGTTCCCCGGAGTCAAGACCCCACTACGCAGGAACGGAGCCAGAAACAGCCCAACGGTACCAAGTGGATTCTCTCCAGCACTCTCGTTCCCCACGGCACCCCCCCCCGCCAAATCCTCCATCCTTCCCGGGCTCTGATGCCATGAGCAGAGCGCGACTGGGCCTACGACTGGGCCCACGTCTGTGCTGGCCCCTGGCTGTGGCCCTTCACACCGAGACTCCCTCCTCCCGCTCCCTTGACAGTGCTCCCTCTGACATCAGCCAGGCTCGGGCGGGGGGGGGGGGGGGGCCTACCTGTCGTCTGTGTTCCGGAGTGAAGGCAGCCGGAAGCTAGTGTTCCTGTCAAGCTTCGACTGGCTTTTGGTCCTCTTGATGGAGCCCTTCAGGCGCTTGCTGAAGAAGCCCTGGAGAGAAGAGGCAGGAGGTGGTGAGTGGGGGGACAACGAACCCCAAGCAGCGCCCCGAAGCCAGGCCCCCTGGACCACCTCTGCGGGAACGGGCTGAGATCCTTTTTTTTGGTTTCAATTTTGATTTTGAGGCCATACCCGGCGATGCTCAGGGGGTAAAATCTGGACTCACTCCTGGCAGTGCTCGGGAGATCCTAGGGGATGCTGGGGATCGAACCCGGGCCAGTCACGTGCAAGGCAAACACTCTCTGTGTTGGACTATTGCTCCACCCCTGAGATTCTTCTTTTTTTTTTTCCCTCTCTATTTTTGGGTCCCACCCGGCGATGCTCAGGGCTGACTCCTGGCTCTGCACTCAGGAATCACTCCTGGCGGTGCTCGGGGGACCCTCAGGGATGCTGGGGATCGAACCCGGGTCGGCTGCTTGCCAGGCAAATGCCCCCTCCCCCCGGTGTACTATCATTCCGGCCCACCTCTGAGATTATTTTTTTTCTTTTAGGGTCCCACCCGCAATGCTCAGGGCTGACTCCTGTCTCTGCACTCAGGAATCACTCCTTGGCGGTGCTCGGGGGACCCTATGGGATGCTGGGGATCGAACCCAGGTCAGCTGCATGCCAGGCCAACGCCCTCCCCGCTGTGCCACCGCTCCAGCCCCTCAGCGAGGCTTTTGCACAAGACCACACACCAGTCTCACACAGTCTCCTGGCCTGTACTTCTTTTTATTATTACTATTATTATTATTATTATTTTTTGCTCGAGCGGGCCCAGTAACATCTCCATTGGAGACTTTGTTGTTACTGTGTCTGGCATATCGAATACTCTCGGTAGCTTGCCGGGCTCTCCGAGAGGGGCGGAGGAATCGAACTCGGGTCGGCCATGTTGGCCGCTTGTGAGGCGAACGCCCTACCCGCTGTGCTATCGCAGGGGCTCCCGGCAAGCTACCGAGAGTATTCGATATGCCAGACACAGTAACAACAAAGTCTCCAATGGAGACGTTACTGGGCCCGCTCGAGCAAATCGACGATCAACGGGAGGGCCTTTACCTTTTACCTATATTATTATTTTTTGGGGGGTCACACCTGGCGATGCTCAGGGGTTCCTCCTGGCTCTGCACTCAGGAGTTACTCCTGGTGGTGCTCAGGGGACCCTATGGGATGCTGGGGATCGAACCCAGGTCGGCCACGTGCCCGGCAAACGCCCTCCCCGCTGTGTTATCGCTCCGGCCCCACCTCTGAGATTCTTGGTCGCCAAACCCAGATGGAATCTGACTTTCCTCCTCTCCCTCCCTCAGAAATGAAAGAGCATCTATTCTTTATTTACTGGGGGCTTGTGACCAATGTGGCAGTGCTCACAGGGTCCTTGCTGGCTCTGTGCTCAGGGGCCGCTCCCTGGAGTTACTCGGGGACCACGTAAAACCGCAGATTCGCACCCGGGTGGGCTGTGCGCAGGAGTCTGAGCCCCGACCTCTGTCCTCAGCCCCTGTCCCGGGGTGCCCGAGCCGGGAGCCAGCCCTGTCAGCACAAGTGACGTATTCCCACACTCCCTGTTGCGACTCTTCACTGCATCTGCCGGGATCTCAGAGTGTCACTCCCGCCCGAACACTAGGCTGCTTATTCTACATGCGGTGTGTCGTGGGGGTTGGTGCCAGGGGGCCACCGCACAGAATTTGGGTTGACAAGAGAAGCAACAGCCACCGGAACAGTCACTGTGGGGCTGGAGCTATAGTACACCGGGGAGGGCATTTGCCTTGCACGCGGCCGACCCGGGTTCGATCCCCAGCATCCCATCGGATCACCGCCAGGAGTGATTGCTGAGTGCAGAGCCAGGAGGCAGCCCTGAGCATCGCTGGGTGGGACCCAAAAAGCAAAACTAACAAACAAACAAAACAAACAAATAAAAAAAATGCTTGCTGTGATGCCCGCTAAGGCCCCTCCATCACGAGGAAGATGCATTGTCTCCCCGCAAAGTCAGGGTGCCGGGTCTCAGGGGGATGGACCCAGGAGAGGGTGTGGATGGAATCATCCCAAGACCCCTGGAGCCAGCACCTGGCGCACAATGGCTTCTTTCTGGGACCCCTGATGCCACCCCCAACGCTGAGCCAGAAACTCACCCGGCGCCCGCCCCTGGCGCTCTCTGCTCCGTCTGCCCTCAAGTAACTTACTCTGGGAGCGGGGCTGCAACTCGGCTGTGGGATTGGGCGTCACGAGAGAGCGGCCGCCACCTTTCCCGGGCCCCTGGCAAATGCGGCTGGCCGTGACAGTCGCGGGGATGGGAAGCTGCCGTCTGGAGCAACCCCTGAGGACCGTCCCTGGCTAGCGGGGCTGCCTGGTGACGGGGAACAAGCGGCTGCTACGCAACCGAGCTCCCGGAGAGACTCAGTTCCCGGGGGGCACGGAGGGGGGCCCTCGCCCCCAGCCCCGGTCCTGCGTTCAGGCTTCCCCGCCTGGAGAAGAGGGTCACACAATTCCCAGAGACAAGCCCCTTCTGACGGCGTCTCTCTAGAGCAGCGTTGCCCACTGCCGGCCAGACAGGACCCAGGTGAGGCCGGCCGCAGCCGGGCGGAAGTCCAGTGCCATCAGGAAGCAAATCTTGGACTCCTGCATCGGCTGCAGTTTCCAGGCACCAGGATTACCTGCCAGGTGTGTGTGTGTGTGTGTGTGTGTGTGTGTGTGTGTGTGTGTGTGTGTACTCCTGCATCTACTACAGTTTCCAGGCACCAGGATTACCTGCCAGGTGTGTGTGTGTGTGTGTGTGTGTGTGTGTGTGTGTGTACTCCTGCATCAGCTGCAGTTTCCAGGCACCAGGATTACCTGCCAGGTGTGTGTGTGTGTGTGTGTGTGTGTGTGTGTGTGTGTACTCCTGCATCAGCTGCAGTTTCCAGGCACCAGGATTACCTGCCAGGTGTGTGTGTGTGTGTGTGTGTGTGTGTGTGTGTGTGTGTACTCCTGCATCAGCTGCAGTTTCCAGGCACCAGGATTACCTGCCAGGTGTGTGTGTGTGTGTGTGTGTGTGTGTGTGTGTGTGTGTGTACTCCTGCATCAGCTGCAGTTTCCAGGCACCAGGATTACCTGCCGTGTATGTGCGTGCGTGTGTGTGTGTGTGTGTGTGTGTGTACTACTGCATGGCTGCAGTTTCCAGGCACCAGGATTACCTGTTAGGGTGTGTGTGTGTGTGTGTGTACTCCTGCATCGGCTGCAGTTTCTAGGCACCAGGATTACCTGCCAGGTAGGTGTGTGTGTGTGTGTGTGTGTGTGTGTGTGTGTGTGTGTGTGACAGATAAACGACTCCCCTCCTGGCTCTCTGGGATCCGGGCGCCCCATCAATGATCAATGGGAACTAAAACCCAATGGGGGAAATGGAATGAGTAGGACAAAGATGCAGGAAATGCGTTTCTAGGCGAGAGATTAACAACAAAGCAACAAGGAAATGGGAAGAGATTTGCCAAGAGATTTGGAGTTCCTAAGTGGATCACTTCTCCTCTAGTGGGCATTTACCAATTTATTTATTTATATTGCTTTTTTCGGAGAGCCCGGCAAGCTACCGAGAGTATTCGATATGCCAGACACAGTAACAACCAAGTCTCCAATGGAGACGTTACTGGGCCCGCTCGAGCAAATCGACGATCAACGGGAGGGCCTTTACCTTTACCTTTACCTTTTTTGGGTCACACCCGGAGATGCTCAGGGCTGACTTCTGGTTCATGCACTCAGGAATTACTCCTGGTGGTGCTTGGGGGACCCTGTGGGATGCTGGGAATTGAACCCAGGTCGGCCGCGTGCAAGGCCAACGCCCTCCCCGCTGTGCTATGGCTCCAGCCCCTCTAGTGAGGGGTTTTGTTTGTTTTTTTTTTTTTCTCTCTCCAAATTTAAGAGTCAGAGGGAAAAGGAAAAGATCCCCTCATTGATTACAATTGTTTTTCCAGTCCAGGACCAATGAATCAATCTTGTCACCTAGAACTCAGGGATCTGCATTTTTTTGAGACAAATCCAATGACTCTCCGGCATTAAAGTAAGATTTGGTTATAAAACCTTTGAATAGGCAAAAGCACAAAAAAAAATAACATCTTGGGAGGCACATTCTCCTGAATCAGATTTAATTTTCAGTATTTAATGTCACTGTCACTGTCCTCCCGTTGTTCATCGATTTGCTCGAGCGGGCACCAGTAACGTCTCCATTGTGAGACTTGTTGTTACTGTGTTTGGCAGATCGAATACGTCACGGGGAGCTTGCCAGGCTCTGCCATGCAGGCGAGATACTCTCAGTAGCTTGCCGGGCTCTTCGAGAGGGGCGGAGGAATCGAACTCGGGGTGGCCGCGTCGGCCGCGTGCAAGGCAAATGCCCTACCCGCTGTGCTCTCGCTCCTTTAATATTAATGTTGGAATTATTTTTAACAGCACTGTCATTTATGTTGATGCTACTATTTTAAAGTAGAAATCTTACTGGTGAGATTATTTTGAAATAGAGAAGTAAATTGTGTGTTTACATTCGAAAATATAACATGCTCTAATTGTTAGAATAATATGCTTACAAGTTACGACTCCCTAGGGAGACCAGGAGAAATACAGAACACAATTTCTACCCGGTTCTTTTTGTCTGATTTCTTCTTCTTCTTCTTCTCTTCTTCTTCTCTTCTTCTTTTCTTCTTCTTCTTCTTCTTCTTCTTCTTCTTCTTCTTCTTCTTCTTCTTCTTCTTCTTCTTCTTTTTTTTTTTGCTTTTTGGGCCACACCCAGCGATGCACAGGGGTTTCTCCTGGCTCATCCGTTCAGGAATTACTCCTGGCGGTGCTCAGGGGCCCATATGGAACTCTGGGAATCGAACCCGGGTCGGCCGCATGCAAGACAAATGCCCTCCCCGCTGTGCTATTGCTCCAGCCCCATTTGTCTGATTTCTTTTCTTTTATTCTTTGGTGTCAGGAATCAAAATTTCTTTGGTTTCTTCTTCTTCTTCCTCCCTCCCCCCCCCCCTTTTTGCTTTTGCTTTTTGGGTCACATCCGGCGA